TTGCCAGCTGTGAAGACTCCTTTGTATTCGTATTGTCTGAGCCTTGTCGACAGCATTCATATCACTCACAGTCACACCAGTAGCACATCAACTGGGTTGACATTGAAGCTTATGAATCAATCACTATCATTTGTCCTCTCTCTCTCTCTCTCTGCGTGCTGGAAGATGCATTGTATCGATCTCTACTATATAGATATCTTTTGAACCTGCATCACAAGCAAACTCGCCTTTTCTTCTCCTCGCAACCCACCAACCGGTGAGACATGCGCAGACCGAATCCTGCGCAACCAAGGGCGTCTCCTTCAGGTCTTGGCACAGGATCCCGGTCTCCTTCAGCCGTTGGGGCTCTGAATATCACCCATTCGTTCAATGCCAGAAGTCCAGTGATTCATTTTGTTTTCCTCAAATGCGTCATTGGAAGGGTCAAACGACGGTAGGGACGGGAGGTTCTCGAAGCGTTCAACTGGTTGTGCTCAGCTTGGATAGTGTATGTTCGCAGGGCCACTGGTGAGAAGGTTGCACACAGATGTTTGAACGGCTATCTTAGGGATCAACTTCCGCGAACAAATCTCAAACATTTTCTACAAAGGCTCTCAATGATGAGTTTTATGTGAGGCATATGTGCAAACTGAACTGCTTGTAATTCTGTTGTTATCATTCTTGGGCATGCGCAAAAGAAGCATGTCCATGAGCTCGAAACTCGAAACCATATGCTTCGCTGTGGAAAAATGAGTTGGTGCATTTTGCACTTTAAAAAACCATGTATTCTGAGGGTATCCAAAATAAGATGTGAGTCTGATCACATTGTCATCCGATGACAATGATGAAACCGATGATCATGTTGTGATACCCATGACGATCATGCTATGAAGATGATACCTTCCCGATGAACCCCCCGTACGGGAGGGTCCAGTGAGTCAGGAAAGCTTGCTGGACCCGTGGGTCAAGCCCGCTTCCGACCGTGGTCCCTCCGCCCAGTTGGAGCGATAGCGAAGAGACACGTCATGCAGCGGCCTTAGCGAAGTGCAGAGCGGTTGTTATATGTTTGTTCGGCGTGTTCGACCCAGTGTTGGGGGTCTGTGTGGTGTCGGTTCGGTTGAGGGTTGAGGATGGTTGTAAGTAGCAGGGATGGATGTGGTTTTGGTGTCGGTGTTTGGCGTTTTGAGAAGCGTTTTTCCTTGGTGGCTTTGTGAAGAAACTTCTCCAAGGAGGGGGAGGAGTGAAGAACAAAGTGGGCCTGGGGCAGTCTGCAAAATTCCGTCCGAGTCTGTGAGCAGAAAACTGTTTCTCCTGCCACTTTGGGCGAACCTGTCCACAATGCAACAAAAGGCCCCAGTTCCTCAATCACGGCGACGGAACCACTCAGAACGGGACGGAGGGGAGGTTTGGATGACCTGACAGAACCGATGCTCAAGTATGAGGTTCGATACATTTCGGTGATTGCTGATTGATGGGTCAGAAGTGAGATTCGCAAAACAAGCTGGTGATTTTCAGAGAACATAAAAACACATCGGATCCACTCCAGCACCGAGCTGGTCAGAAGTGGATCCAATCCATTTTCACGTCACACTCCGATCCAAGGAGTGCCAGCCCTGCCCGGCTGGAAGGCGGGGGAGCCCTGGCCTGGGTCGGACGGATGGACCTGGTGCCCGGGAGCTGGAGAAGCCGCTTGGGCACAGATCGAAGTGACCTTTTGGAGCGAACTGGTCACTGGTATGGGGGGTGAAGAGCACAGAAGAGCACAGAAGAAGCAGAAAAAGACCCGACAGCAACACTGGTTCCCGTCCACTCACTCCACTCACACCACTCACTGTTCCCACTTCGTGTTCCGACTTCTCCGATCGATCCCATCAATTATTGGGTGATCTCTTCTGCCCGCGATCGATCGAGGTGGACGGACCAGAAGGGCACCACCAGTGCCTCCGCCTGCTTCGAGTGCCCGGCGGGCAGGCGGACCGTCTCTTTTTCGATGTATTTTTTCGGGAAAGGGAAGCTGTGGCAGGTTGGTAGGGCTGCACTCACACACTCCTTTGGTTGCGATCGCTTTTCTCATGTTTTTCAACCCATCGAGCACCGGAAAACCTCTCTCTGTCCTTTTTCGATTCCGCTGTCGCCGAGGGTCAGGACCGGTCAGGAGAATCTTTCACAGCACTACCCCATGCGTTCGAAGCCGGTGCCAGGTGGTCTGGGGCCATTGGTGCGGCTCAGGACCGCACGCAGTTCGAAGCGCGCTGCGGCGCAGTTCGTTCGCTCTTGCGATACATGGGAGAGCAACGTGCGTGATTGGAGACCAAGGTCAAACCTCCAAGTAGCTCCTGTTGTCTGTACCACTTGGATGGACACAACAAGCTTGAGTTCAGATTTTCGCTCCTCCTTTTTTCAGAATTCAAGCCACGCCATGGTGTCACCATTTTTCCTGTCTTTCTTTGATGGGTTGGTCCCAACACAAGTCCGTGGACTGCTGCAGAAAGTGCAAAAAGATCCAAATTCAACGTCATTTTGAAGCAGAATGAGATGTGGTAGATCCACACAGAGTAGGAATCAGGGTCTGAAAGGTTCCCAAATCGATTTTTGGAGCTACGAACGAGTTCCTGCACCCCTTTCCCAACGGTTTCTCGGGCTCTCAGGTTCTCATTTCCCATGGCTGCAGGAAGATGTCTGCATTGCATGCCATGCTGGCAAGGCTTCATCCTTGCCGCTGGACCCAGCCAAGGATGGGGAGGTGCAGACATGTAGACATGGTTTATCACATCCAAACAATGCGATGGTGCCCTATGGCTCCGGCCTCTAGCCATTTGCATCTGTTAGAGACACGACCTGGGTCGCGTCTGGAAGAGCACCGAACTGGGCCATCCACGGGTCCAAGTTGTCGGATGTTCGTCCAAACATACTTTCCGAACAGTTTCTGAACAGTTTCTGGATGTTTACTTCACTTTATCAACATTGGATGTTGTTCAGTTTCTGAACAGTCCTGGGTCGTCTGATGCTTTTGCTGAACACCCAATACCTTCCGCCAGGACCAGTTTCGACGAGGATCGACACTCGCACGGCGAGTGACACGAGTGTTTTGTTGCGCGCCCAAGATCAGTCCCTTACACCTGCCCTGCACCTTTCGGACGTTTAAAGAACCAATGAATTTCCTCCTGCCCTTACACCTCCCTTGCTCCTCCTGCATAACACACCTTAAAAGGATGCGACCTTGGCACGTTCGCGGCGCGGGTGAGGCTGGGCTCTCCGAACTTCAGCAGCTGCGAGCTGTGCCGCTTGGGGCGGGTCAAAGAGGTCGAAGAGGTCAAAGAGGTAGAAGAGGGGGGGCGGTGGGAACCCGAAGGAAGGGGGCGCCTTTGGCCTCCCCTGGATTTAGACTCAGATGCCACGGGCGCCTGAATACCTTGCCACGGAGGAGGAAAAAGGAGGTCTCTTTCCTGCGGCGTTCCAGGAAGGGTTCCAGGTCTGTTCTGGAAGGTTCTATTTTGAAGGTTTGATGGGTGCTGTGAGAAACCAACTGATGATGCCAGCTGTTGGAGACATCACATGGGATGATTTCTGGCTACTCTGTAATCTCGAGTCCTACCCGCCACCGTTTGTCCAGACAGCTCCCCCACATTCTTTGGAAAGAACTGTTTCGAGAGAGAACGCGGGATCCGGTCGCATTCGGACTTGGTTGGAAGCTGGCACCGCTTTACGACTGGGAAAAACGGTGCAAAACCGTTTTGGACTGGGATGTGACCTCGGATGCCGAAGACATCCGCATCGATTCATCTCAGGCGAGCCTGGGAAGTTCTCGGATGAGGGGGCAGGCGCCACTCCGTCGTCGTTGGGTGCGTTCTTCTTTGGGTTGAAGTGGGAGGGAGATCTGATTGGAGTGGGGATCTACAGGGTAAAGGACCACTCCCCTGCTTGTAGACCGACACAAAGGAAGAGAGATAGAGAGAGAGAGAGAGAGAGAGAGGGGGAGAGGCAGAAAGACAGAAAGAGAGAGTGAGAGATTGAAGAAAGATCATATTCTCCTGGAATCCTCAATCGGGAATCTCAAAATGCCCTGAAAATGCCCAAGACATGGTCTCATTCCAACTAACCTGGTCAGTCGGACGAGAACAACACCGACCACAAAACCCTTGGGCCATCTTGGGCCAAAGCCAGGAGAAGGCTTCATGCTCTCCTTGTTGTACTGCGGTGATATTTTTGGAGGGTTTCCGCCTCTTTCTTTCACAGCCTGACAAACGCCCATCGATGTTTTTGTGGCCCTTTCGGCCCCACGAAGGAAGCCTTTGCTGCTCACCGGAGAGATCGTATTTTTTCTTTTTTCTGGTCGATGTGCTGAAAGGAAACGGAAGGTTCTGCGAATGTGCTGAAAGTAATGGACAGAGGTTTGTAACGGTAAAACAGACCAAGCGAAATGACCGAAATGTGCCACACACGCTTGGCAGTGGAACCAATGCACTTTGCAGGGTGTTTCGAGGCAGCCCTGTTTCCCTTTCTCGTTTTCTTCAACAAGCCAACAAGAAACTAATGAAATGGTCGGAGTGACACCAGCCCTGATGCTGCCTAAGTAAGTGATCAAACGAACAGGGACTAGATGCAGTGGGTTCCAAACATCAAGGTTCCGACATTCATGAAAAGAACTTGCTGACCCTACCAGCAGTCACATGTCGGGGTGCGATCCATGGAGGTAGTCGGGGTGCCCTGGTCACATCCACTCACGTCAGGGGACCAAACACCACCCCGAGCTCTGTGACTCCTGGTACCGTCCGATTCTCCACCCGATCGGCCATCCGCCCACACCATGTGGTCATTCCGGTAGTCAGGTGAGACGCACACACACACACAGACCTTTCACCGCTTCTGAAGAGTTTGGATGCTTCTTGCTGTTCCCCTCCCCAACAAGACCTTCGGAACTGCATTTGACAGTTTCGACCGTTTCAGAACATCATTGAGGGCTCCGTCCATTCCGGACGTGGGACCGCCGGGTGTACCACTGGGTGACGGGCGATCGCTTCGACGGCCAGAAAGCTGCAGTTTGTGCTATGCGGGATCTTGGTTGGGGAGCTCAGAACAGTTTGATGGTTTTGGAACGGATCCTGGGTCGAGGGGTGGGTGTGCACTGTTTTTTTTTTCTCAGGGGCCACGGTTGGTGTCGGTGTAAATATTCCTCTAATTCCTGGCTTAGTGATCATTTGTGTGTGTGTGTGTGGATGCCAACTCAGAAACTGACCTTCAGAAACTGTCGAGTCAACACGGGATCTTCCATGAGCATCTACTGGGAAATGGTTATGGCGGTTATTGGGTATGTGGGTTCCGAAGAAGAATCTCCAAAGCAAGTTTCTTGTGGCCAGTTGCAAGTCCAAGTAGGTGGAGTGATAAAAGTACTCCTCTCTTGCCCCATCCCACCTGCTCGCACCTAACTCTCTTTCCTTGCCAAGGAGTGCGAGCAGTGGCGCCACGGGCAACGAGAGCCACTCCTGCACGTGCCTTGGGTGCACTGGACGTCCTCACTTGACCTCACCCGCTTGACTTACGTCGTAGGGAAGAAGTCGACCTTTCCAACCGCTGGTCAAAGTTCGTTCGTTGAACAGGAGACGAGTTGAACATCTCTTTTCCGGGCATGTTTCGGAACCAGTCTTGTTGCGGCAGGTCTTGTTTTCTCTTTCATGCCACCTGCAAAAGTATCAAAAGATTCCAAAGACCATGAGCCATGGGCATCTCCTTGCCACAGCCATCACAGCCATCGCGCGAGCGAACTCACCCCCCCTCGGCAGGCCCTGTGCAGCCGGCCGCTATGTGGCCTTGGAAGGGCAAACGGAGGATACTTGCCCGGCGCCGAACGGCGGACCGCCCCGCGGAACGGCAGCGAGGTCTTTAACACAATGACCTGTTTCAGGCCGAAGTGACAAACCAGCAGATCACGTTCAGTCACTTGGAAGAACCAGGCATGTCTATATTTTCCAGCACCGTTTTGACTGGTCTGAGCACTGAGCAGTTCATTTGCCCTCCATTCCGGTGACAGAACGTGGTGGGTTCTAGAACCTGGGCGACTTCGGAGCGCGTCCCCTCGGCGAGCTCGGCGTTTTCTGGGTCTCCGATCGTCTCCGGTGCACCAAGCTGGAGGATTGTTGGTTGTGTGGCGCGTGGGGCATTTGTTTTGGCTCAAAATACCGGGTGTCCAATCGTTCCGAACAAGTCCTAGTATATAACTAGTCCTAGTAACCAGTCGGCCCTTGGCGGAAAACATCATATCTTCTGGTTCACCTCGGTGTTGCTGCGGGCAAGATTGCTGTCCGCCAGCCGTCTTAGACGGGCAAAGAGGTATGAGGGATGGCATGGAGCTATGACGTTTCGTTCGAATCGTTGCCACCAGTCATGGCCGGTCACCAGCTGCTAGGCAGCACAACCCATTTCCGGACTGCTACTAAGGATGGCTGGCTTTCACTTTCCGAAGGTCGACGGGTATCAGTTTTAAGCTTCAAAGATGACCATTTGCAGATTTTGGTGGAGGAGTATCTTGATCCATGTTCATGGTTCAATCACCTGACTCAGCCAGAAACCCTGGACATGATACTCCTCAAGAAGGCTGATCCTTGATCCGGGAGATGGCAGCCCCACATGTTTGCCATGCGACGGACCAATCAGAAGACAGTCCACACGACCACGCTGTGCCATGCGACGATGCGATGGTGGTGTGCGACTCTGGCGCTGGCGACGTGGTGGGCGCCTTTGGGGCTTGCAGAGGCGTGGGCGAAGGGGTGGAGGGGTGGAGGGGTCAAAGCTGAAGTTCGGGATGCCCCACATGGCCCACGTGTCTCGTTTGGGGAAGAACATCGATCCTTTGTTACTTTTGGGTTGGATGGTTTTTAGAATTGATGAAGAGCCGAGCGAAACGAGTGATGGGCGAAACAAGATCTTTCTTTTCAAAGGACCATGATGCATCCTGAGGCTCGCTTGCTCCTTCTTCCACCTGCCGGTGGCGAGTGGATATTTGGATCGCGCGGATAGCCCCACCACTCCCCAGTTTGTCACCCTGGAGATGTCTCCCCCGGGAGTTGGGAGGATGGACATGTGATGCTGGGACTTCCAATTCCTGTGGGGTGAGACTGCCAGGAGAAACCCCCTTGCGAGGAAAAGGACACTGAGACGGGGTGTGTCCCTGTTCCAGCACACATCCACTCATGTTGTCTTCCCTTCGTTCTCGCTCGTTTCGAACCGCTCCCAGTCTTTTTGTGCGGATTCTGGGGGCGCACCTTTCTGCTGCTCACGGAACAACCATTGTTTCATTGCTTTACTAAGGATTTTAGACCGAACTGGGTCAACCACGTTTAGCTTACTTGTAAATGGTCTTGGAAGGAGTCCGGTCAGGGTTCAGTTCAGAAACACCATCACCGTGTGCACCGTGTGCGTCAAAGCCTTCGTTTCGATGGTTCTTCCCAAACTGCGACGCCAGGACCTCAGCGGCGACGGAGGGGTTCAGAAGCGACTGCTGCAGAGCGGTCACGGGAGCACAGTGCCTACAGGCGCCACGAGAAGCCGGGTCAGCAGGATGATCAAGTGATCATGTACATTGATTCATAACCCCCCCATGTACAAGAGGTTCTTCAATCCAATCGATTTTTTCCATTAAGACTCTACATTATGACAGTGGGTCAAAACCCAGAAGCCAGGTTGATAGTAGGTTGACCTCCTGTAGGTCGTCTATTCTGTTCGGTGGTTTCCATCAGGGTCCGCCATGGCCCACAGCCATATGTGGGGATCGGTGAGCCTTAATGGGCCATTTGGGAGGCAACGATCCAGATTTGCATTGGCTATGGGACATGGCTTCAGTTTCCCAAATCAATAGTGAATCGTTCTACGCTCCTTCGCTCTCCTGCGTCCCTAGGAGCGTCCTGTAACTGGCTACCTCTCCCTTACATCAAGTGGGTACGGTAGGTGCCTACTTCATTGAGTAGGGAAGGGAGGGGAGCCAAACCACACGGGTTCCGAAGGGCCCACCGGACCGAGACAGACTGGAAGCTGCTCGTTCTCGATACGAGGTCTTCTCCGGTGTAGTTCAGGTCAGAACTCTCATGCCAGTCCTCAAACTGAGAACAGCTTGGGCTTTCCTCGGTTGGTGGTTTCTCCTACTCCAGGTGACAGCAGCACTGTGGTGCGGGCCACTGTCCAGTCAGTCTTTGGGCTGAGTGATGCTGACTTTGGAAGGCAGTTGGGACGTGTGTTGAGAAGAACCTCTCGAGAAGGACGACACACCAAGTCTTCCTCCACTTGAAAGGGAGAAATGGCACCCATCGTCGCAAAGGTTTGTGACATCGCTACAGGTCGCTAACAACATCACCCATTTTTTTTGAAGCACCGGATGTCAAGGACTCTTTTCGAGCACCAGACGGTTTGAGCAGGTCCCACAGAGGGATGGTCAAACTTTCGTGAGTCCACCGAGGTTGGATCAGGTCACTTAGAACTTAGGTCACTTGGTCCATCGAAACAACGTTAACCATCTGGGGGAGGAACAACTTGAAACACGGAGCAAGAAGACTACGGGTGAAGATCACTGACCTCTCAAAGACTCAAGACTATTCAAGAATGGTCTTGAGTCTTGAGTCTTGAGTCTTTAGGTGACCCGAAGAGACACTTCCTTTGCTTATATAAGTGGGGCTTCTAGGTTGAAGGAATGTGGTGGGTGAGACGAACCTAGTTCTTCCGAACTCGACCGAACTGAGGCGGAGGTCACTGCGACCGGGAGTCTGGTCGATGAAGGCGATGGCAACCAGTTGCTTTGCTGCGGATGTGGAGACGATCGATGGATCATGATGGATCCAAAGGGCTCAGACATGGCAAGATGGAAAGGCGCAGACATGGCTAGATGGGTGGAAATGACCACGATTCTGGTTCCGACCCATCCGACTTGCCTTTTGGGTGTGCCTATTTCATAGGGACGCCCCCCAGACAGACAGCGCAAAATGGACCAAACACCGGCCAGGCTGGTGGCCAGGCTTGGATGAACCTTCCTTTCCACTCAACTGCAAAAATCAACGACAACAGATGAGTCTCCCTCTTCGGGTGTGACAAGTCCTGATGCCTGACCTCCCAGGCGGTCCCGATCATGTGGGGTGTCCGTTGGGGACCATCGATCTACCCAGCTAGTCGTGGCCAGTTCTGACCCTCTCAAGTCAAGGCCATCGGTTGGGGCGGATCCAAACCGCAAACCGAATGGCCTTGACAAGCAAAGCCTGCAATCCCCAGGAAGGGGAAGGGGGTGGCCCTAGTCTAATCCAAAGCCGGGCTGAATCGCAGGTCTGCACGAGATCTTGCTTGGACGAGGGCAGATCTCCAGGTGCCACAGATTTGGTGGATGGACGTTCAAAGAATACTTGGAACTTGGAACTCCCTTTCTTTTCCGTGTATACATTGTATACATACACATACACATAGCAATCCTGGATCATGAAGCTTTTTCATGTGAGGTGGTGCAAGAGTTCCTGTTCCTCGCTACTTGTGCGCAACATTCTGCAACTGCCTTGTGGCTGAGAAGTGCTCGATTGCTAGTAAGATCAAATAATTTTTTTGGACATTGAACGCGGCTATACACCTCCAACTTGCCGTTCGCACAACAGTGGTTGCACAGTTGACAAGTGGCTAAGTCGCATCAGAACCTTAGACGTCTCGCTCTCTCTCTCTCTCTACACCGCTGCACACCACACGTGTCGCAGCACATCGCAGCACACGTGTCACTCCCGTGTCGTCGCCGCTTGGAGTCTGGGGGCGATCTTGGAGTCGAGAAACCGCCAGGGGCTTCGACCTGGCTGTGGCCAGCATGAGGGAAGGTGAGAAGGCCCTGGTGCTCTTGGACTCGAGCTACGCTCCCAGGACTGCCCAGACACCCATATTTCAAGGTTGCGCTGTTCATGGGATTCGGTGTCCTTTTTGCTTTTTTTGGGGGGGTTGCGAGAGAGGCGTCCATCCGGTTGAGAGAAAGAACACGGTATGCCTGTGCTTGGCTGGTGAGTAGTAGGAGCCAATTGGTCGGACTTGGCTGTTCTCTGGGGGCGCCGAGAGTTCAAGCGCAAGCGATCTAGCGAGCGGTTCTGCAGCAATGGATTAGTTTTCAAGATATTCCCCTCAAATAATCATGGAAGTGGACAATGGCCTCTTAGACGACTATTCGCCTCTACAGGCAGAATGTACGGCGATTGCCGACCCAAACGATCCCTTGGCTTGAGCCCGGTATCCTTCAACATGATGCATCATGAAGAGTTTCACACAGTATGAAAGACGTTTAAGACACTCAATGACAAGTGGAACCTGCAAGCAAGCAAGATCCATTTTGGATCAAAACAGAGAGAAGGTGCGTACACCTCAGCGTCGCGCGCAGCGACTGGGGCCTATACAGCGAAGGTAGGGCGAAGTAGTTGGATCATCAACTCACACGCCACAGAACTTTAAGTTCTGTATGATGAGATATCAACATGACGCAGTCATTGGTTCAAGCAGATGTCGATATGTAAGAAAAACAGTATGCCCTTTTGGTCACAATGGGACTTCACACAAGTCAGCAAAAGAACCTTCAAAAAGTTCACCATCAAGCACGACTTTCACCAGAAAAAGCTCAAGTTGGGAACCTCCGCAGACAAAGAGCGTCGAGCGCGTCAATTTCCATAAAGTCGAACAACTCGACAAGCAAAAAGGCACTCCAAGTGGAGATAGTATCACGACGACTAGAATGTCTCCTCTTCACACTCTGCAAAATCCAGCGTTTCCGAAGATAAAATCCCTTACTCCTCTTTTGACAAAAAGTCGAAGACATTCCGTTGGTCTCTGCTATCATCACCTCATGGCTGGTGCAAATCGACAAATGTGGACCTTCTGTCCTGATTTCCGCGCATCGAATGGATATGATGGGCACAGGCGCACAGGCGCCGCAGTAACTATTGCTCCTAGTAACTAGTAGTAAGGCCAGGAGCCCGGTTCGTAGCGTCCGATCGCTCCTCGTAGCGATGCCAGGAGCCCCGTTCGTAGCGATGCCCTTGCTCCTGGTAGCATTAAACAGGTGGTTGTCCACTTCCATGATGACTTCAGGGAGTATAGCCTGCCTTGTGGAGGGACGAGGATGGGTGCTACAGGAACGCCAACATGTCCTTCCAAGTCGAAGTTCTGAAGTTGCTCGGAACGATTGGTGGCCAGTTTGAGACAGATTCTTTGGTGGGAGGGGGTTTGTGCTTGGATCTCCTCGTGTTCTTGGTGGCTTGGTGACGAATTTCGCTCACCAAATACCAACAAATCCAACAAATCCAATTGAAGGTCCCTTTGGTTTCCCTGACTCGTTTGGGATCTTGCGGCTTGACTTGGGTGCACTTCGACTCGTCAAGGATCATCAGCTTTCTCCTGAGAATTTACCAATCAAACAGTTCTGCTGCACTCTAGATTGGCAGGGCCAAGCCAGCTTTTCGTGCTTTCGTGATCTTTTGGAAGACCTCCAGGTGTGGGTCACAATTAGCACTATTCATGCACCAAAGCTTGACTGTTCGGTCAGTGGCTTGCACTGAGCCCAGCCATCGAGCTTATCCGCTCGTCACAGGGAACGGACCCGTTGACCGAAAAGACCCCGCTTTGGGAGGCCGCTTTCGAGTTCTTTTTGGCTTTTGGCCTTCTGACGCACGTGACCCCTTCTTTTGGCCTTCTAACCGCTCACCATTCGCTAGGTTTGAACTCCTGGATGCCAACATGGCAGGCTGCGAAGGGGGGAACAGAATGGCCAAATGCTGCAGATTGGAGGGTTCTGGATGTATGGACATGTTACCCTAGGAATACTACCATCAGATTCTAGACCACAAAAACTAGGTCAACCACTTGATTTGTTTTGGAAGGCTAGGGTTAGAGTCATCCTCCGGTAGATCAACTATGAACGGAATCAGTGGAGGACCTCGAGTCGTGCCAGACCTCGGAGTGCGAACGCCGCGTGCTCCACGCAGCGTTGGCGGAAGTTCCGCCAAGGCCGCGTGCACGTGGCGTGCAGAAATGGGGTGATTCAATTTCATCCTTTCCGTTTTGTTGGCGAAACGGGTGTGGTCTTTCGGTCCGCACCTGTCCATGGCAATGCCCTCCCAGCGGTCTAATGGCTTCTCGGTTCCATGTTGTCCGGGGGCGCCTGCCGCGAGGAGGGCGTCAAGCGCTGGAGGATTTGCCAGAGGCGCCTGCCGAGGCCGAAGAGGCACCTGCGGTTACGGCGGCGCCGCCGTCGCTGGTGCTGGGTGAGGCCGGATCGGGACGGGGAAGCGAGAGGAGAGAGGAGACCATTGAAGCGATATGGACATGAGAAGATGGGAACATGAGGGTTCCACAGCAAGAATCTGGGGAGCGAACTCCACCAGTCGGCAGAATGGCTGAATGAAGAATGGATGTTCATGCGAAGAAAACCCGTGGATGTATACTGTAGCCGCTCATCGTGGGTGTCAGACTACCTTTGGGTGCCTGTGCCGATGCTCGGACATCGGGTGAATCCACACTATGTGGTCCCCACAGGGTACCCTTTGCAAAAAGAACCCTCCCCTCTTTCCAGCCATCTGAAAACTCGTTGTCTTGGGGAGTCCCTCCTCCTCAATCCGCTCTCCCACTATCTCTCTGCCGCTCTCGCCGTTCTGCCGTTCTGCGGTTCTGCCCGGCAGACGGTGAAGATGGACCATTTGGGGCCCGTGATCGTCAACGCCGACGGCTCGCTCCGGCGGATTGCCAATTGGCCGCCCGGCCGACCGACCCTGCGAGTTCCGCCCGACCCGCCGTTCCGCCCGGGGAAATCCGGTTGGGGGGACGCGGTTGGGATGCTGGTGCTGGTGACTGGAGGCTTTTTTGGAGCGGGAGGGGACGGGGAGTGGCAATTGGGGTTGGGGTAAGGAAGAGGTGACATTCACCTTTGGAAGCTTGGGAATTGAGAGCTGGCACTGGGGCGTGAAGTGACATCATGTTTGATCATGGTGAAGAATTGGACCAATTCACCTCCTGATCTTGTGCAATTCTTCATGTTGAGACCCCAAAGTGTCGGATCCACCTCACTTCCTTCTCCTTTCAACACCTGTGCCCTCGGACATTTCTCCGTTCGGAGATGGCGGCTGAGGCAGGAGATGACCGAAGTGGAGAGGCCGGGGGTGTATCGCTCGCGGCGCCCTCGTCGCCGCCACGTCAGATGAGTCACCGGCGCCATCGTCGGAGTCGAGGCGCCAGCGAGGAGGGTGGTGTTCGACAGCACTAGACGGAGCAACAAGCGGGGTGGTTCCGTGGTGAAGAGATCGAAGAGTCCACGCACCCATCGGCTTAGGAGACTTTTGATTCTCTCCTTGTCCAGGAAGACCACTGCCAGGACCTTCCCAGTGACCTCTTCAGAATTGATCAGTGACCTTTTTGAAGACCTAAGTGACCTCATTCTGGGATCTCAAAAGGTCACTGGGAAGGTCCGGGTGTTTGGATGATTTTGATAGTTTGATTGTTCTACCTACCACTGTTGGAGGACTCCCAAACCAGCCCAGCCACCTAGAGAGGCGCGCGACGCTGCGGCGAATCGCCCGACGGAACCAGCAGCGCCTGGCGCGGTTGGAGGAGGGCGAGCTCTAGATCGAGGCGAGGGCCTGGCCGGGAAAGAGGCGGGGCGAGAAGGCAGCGGAGTTCAGAAGCCAACTGCTCAGTCTCACGAGGAGGACCTGAATTCCAAAGACTTGATAGATGAGCGTTTGTTGCAGGATTGCTTGACTTCCCGGTGCGCGTTCGATTGCGACCAGAGTGGCTCTGGTGCTTGCGCTCCCACTGCCTCGCACAGGTGGCGCAGAAGTGCCGAGCCACTGCGTGCTTGCCCTTTTGGCCAGGAGTGAAAAAGCATGGTGCGAGAGCTATCAGCTGTGGCCAGGTCCTAGCAGTGTTTGTCTCACAGTGGGGAGGAGCCTGCAAGATTATCGAGTCTTTTTTAGAGTATTCTTGGTCGGACCGTAAAGACTGCGTGGGATGACGCAATTGAGGTGATGTCCATTTTCCGACCCAGTTGCGTCAGTTGCGGTGGAGGCTGATCACGGCAGGTCCGTGGGACCGGTCGGACCAACGGTGAAGCGAACCGAGCGAACCGGGTGGAGGGCCAGGCTGCCCGGGCTCGGGCTTGGGAGGGCCATCGCCTGTCGCCATGCTCGGTAAGTCACCAGAAAGCTTGAGCTCGACCAACTCGTCTTCCCAAGCTCGCGTGAAAGACACCCACCCCCTCGCGCTCGCGTCGCTCCCACCGCGGTCGCCGAGTGCTCCGCCGAGGTCTGCCGTGCCCTCTGGGTCGCTGGGCGGAGCACGACGGCTTCAGTGAGTGCTCCGAGTGCCCAGTGGGCCGTGTGGGGCTGAAGGTGCCGGGTGCGGAGAGATGGGGAGAGGTGAGCTGGACAGGACCAGGTCCAAGAAATAGGGTTACTCAATTTGAATGTAGACCGTTTGATGAATGACCCTTTTCACCTCCTACCATTTGACGTCTTGACATGAAGGGATTTTGATCAACAGTCTACAGTAGGCCACGAAAGGCAGCCTCTCTAGAACTGGGATCATTGGAACAACAGGGATGAGTGATTTGTCAGAACCCCCAGAGAGATGAGAAAGCCGAAAGCCTTGGTCACCAACCGCTAGTCATCCGATAACACGGCAGGTTCCATTAGGCATCACACACATTGCCAATCTCTCTTCTCCCTGTACAGCTTTTGACTGATAGAACCACTCGGTCAGATGATACTGTATTTTTTGAGTAGGGTAGCAGAAGGCAGTCATGTCATGTTCTCCTCCCAGATGGTGGGACTGGACAGTTTGCTTCGGGCCACTTGATGTGGGTTGTATGAGAGTATTCAAAGCTGCAGTCAGAGGAGACGGCTTCTGAAAGGACACCCTCAGACTCACGGATACATGGAAGTTGAACATGGCCTTTGGGAAGACGATTCTCCCCTAGAAACAGGGTAGGATGATACCACGGAACCGTGTGATGTGGTCACTTGGAACCGGAGTTCGATCCTATTAGCTGGTCGTTACTAACAAAACTAGCTTAGTAAGTCTGCTAACCATGGTCATTACTGTAGACGTTATATACTATATATATATAAGTAGGCTAACCTCACTTGTAATGTTGGCTATCTAAGTTTAGCTGGTGCGACCACTTCTCCCCAGAGTCCGACCAGCAGGGTCGCAAAACGTCCTTCCGCCACAGGCGGGTCAGTCCTTGCTGGACGAGGCTTGTAGTGAGTGCCCAGCTGGAAAGAGCAGTACGCCACCTGGCGCAGTCCGTCCATTGGGGTCAAACGCTCTGGCCGGCCAGCCGCAGGGCCACCCCCCTGAAGATGTCAAGAAAACACGATGGCTGAAAGAGAGGTTACTGTAAGTGCACTCTTCAGGGGTACCTAAGGGATAGTCTATAGGGTTCTCAACCTCTGTTGGGATGGCCACGCCAAGTTACTTTCCAAAAGATGGCGGCGCTTGGAGGTCAGGTCGCTCCCGCGAGAAGAACCCTCACGGGACATCCATGCGAGATTTGCTGCAGATCCTTATACCACCAAGTTCAGACAGATCAACTCCGCAAACTTTTACTTGGGCAAACAGCAACTGAGCCATAAAGTCATGAAGTCCCTCCAAACTCCGCACCTTTACCACGCTTGACCCTTCACGTTTGGGCTCAAACACCTTTCCTGGAATCTCAGAAGCTAGCTGGACCGGTGCTGTCACGGCTGCCTGGGGTCTGCTTCACCTGTGATGTTTAACTTGGTGTACACCTTCCAAATCAACACCCCACTTCCGGGTGTACGACTTCAAGACCTCTTCAAGACCACCCCTACCATGCCCCTTATCGACTTCCTTTTTTGAATTGGTCGGTTGGTCCGACGTGCTCACAAAGGCTTGGTGGCCTCACCTGCTTCGGCTGCACTGCTGGCTCCTGGTCCTCAACAGGCGATTTGCTCCCGTTTGGTTCGACGACGACTTGGGATATGTCGTTCTTTGATTTGCAAAATCAGGGATACACCGGGCACATCACCCTCCAATTGAAACTCCAAACTGCAAACACATCATGTAGAAAACAATCTCTTGCTGAGTGAGCGTCATTGGATTTAGCGAACTCGACGGATTAAGCCAATTGAACGCATTTGTTGGGAGTTTACGAAATCGCCTTCAGACCGAAATGCGGCTACATCTGTGATAACTTCTGCATTTTTGCAGAATGGAGTGGTGCAGTGGTGGGTATAAGTGATCATGACTGGGGTTGATGTGGGTTGATCCTGACTTAGTCAATGAACTTTGCTCTCATGTCCGTGCCACATCACGGAGTCTCCCGTGCCACCTTGGATTATCCCAGGATCCGTCATCACTGGCAGCAGAAGTGAAGCGTCTCGAGTGTCTTCGCTATGGGAGTGATCCAAAACGGCCTAGAGGATTGGTCTAGACATGTCTAGACTATATATCCATGAACGATACAGCCATCAAATCTCTCATGATTGTGAATTCTATTTGTCTATGAGCTGATTTGAGGTGCGTCTGCGGGGTGTTTCCGGTGGAAAACCGCTGGGACCCTTTTTCGGGACCGGGCGAGCCGCTAAACTCTGTGAACCGTTCACTCCTGCACCAGGCTCGGACTGCCAGCCTTGCCCCAGCGGACGCTGGAGCGACGCCGTGGAGGCCGAGTCTGAGGACGTCCTGCGAGGATTTCATCGATTCTCCCTGTGAAGGGTCCCACTTCGTGCTCTGCGAACTTCCGGATGGAGTCTGGGGGATGTCCGGATGGAGTCGGAGGGAGTCTGGGAGATGTAGAAACTGGTTTGCTGCAACATCTGGGTCCGCTCCAACGCAGACCTCCCGGTGAATACAACCACCTGGAGGCCACCGCCCAAGCGGCCTGCCAGTGGTGTGCGGCCGGGCGTCCGGGAGCCGAAGGGAGACGAAGGGTGGTAGGAAGCAAGACCTATGGGGGGGGAAGAGTGTTTTGTACGTATGGCGTTGAACTGAAGGTTTATTCCCAAAAACAAAAAGGTTTCAGGTTTGCGTTGTTCTTTTATGAACCTGAGGGTTTCAGGGCTGCCTTCTCCATCCCGGACAAACACACCACACCACCGTCCAACGGACCACTGCGTCCTTTCGGACTCCGTCAGCGAAGCCTTCGGGATGCGTCGCGTCGGGGAGTGAAACCAGCGGGTCGGCGGCGGCTTTAAGCAGCGCGCGGAGCTGGAAGGAACGAGGACTCCACGGTGGGGTCTGAGCTCCTCCTTTGGAGCAGCTCTTTTGGTGCTGTTCTGAAGGCTCCGGAGGAGGACAGCACCTTTCGGAGGGGCAGATTGGAGCATTGTCCCTGCGAAGTCCCTGGTGTTCCCGGTGCATCGTTCGGTGTCCCGGTCAACGGGCGGAAGCCCTTCACGTCGATGAACGGGCGCTGAGAGCTGAAGCTGGGAATCCCATCGGCTAAACCGGCCGATGGACTCCGCTGGACCTGGTACTGGTCGAATACTTTGAATCTATAAATCCTGAGTAAAACCATGGTTGTAGCTTGGGGTTTCGATCTTCGATCCCTTCTTCACCAATGGGTTGGACTCTTTGGGCTGCAGAGTCTTAAGGTTTTGGTGCAAAAAGACCCAGATGAGTAAAATCCTTGGTAAAACAATCGTTGTCCGGTCAAAGCCATTCAATGAAATGGGTCAAAAAGCCATCAACACCTTTCAACAGGTCTGGCCATGACCTTTTAGCAGAGGCCACACGGAGGCGGCACCGGAGCATCGCTTCCGAGGCTTCAGTGAGCTGCAAGGCGCCAGTGGCTCTGCGGTCTGCGAGTCCTGTGCCGCCCGGATGAGATCTGGAATGGGTGGAGCGCTGAGGGCCTGGCGCGTGTGACCTGAGCGCGCGTCCAGTGAATTCGTGTGACCTCTGGCGGGGTGGGACTTTCCTTCAAAAGAGTGGGGTTATGGAAGAGTGGGGGCCTCATTTCAGGATGAAGGAGTGTAGTGTAGCATCAGAGTTGCATCTTTGGAGGGGATGATTTGAAGAGTTGTTTTGAGATGTTTTGAGTGTTTTCGTGTTGCAGGACAATCGATGTCCATCAGTCCATCTCAACGTTTCGACCGGACTGTAGGACTGTAGTCCAACAATTTGCCAGAAGTTCTTGGTCATGGTGTCATGCATCTTCATGCCTTTTTCAAAAACGTGTCAACCGTACCCCTACCCCTTTCCGGGGTGTTGTTTGGACCCTAAGGAGAGTGTGTCGTTTTTCAGAATCTTTAAACACCCCTTACCTAGCCACCAATTGGCACCCCTGCTGAACTCCTGGTTTCCACTAAGATGAGTACGTTCCGAAGATGAGTACCAGATAGACTCCTCTTCAGCAAGTGGACTCGTCGGGTGTCACCACGTCGCCCCCGGACCACGCCACGAAGCCGCCGAAGGCGCCCGGCCGCTGGAACGACCAGCCGGGGCAATCCGTGGCTTGGCACCAAGGCCGATATACTGTACTACAATATATATATATATGCTGTATATACATATACAACCCGTTTGACTAGGGGTTTGGAGTATATTTTGTGGTCCCAAATAGACCCACAAATTGGACACCAACAGTGAAGTTCCTTTGTTCTTGGATGTTTGGGAAATACTTGGTCAGATCAGATGTGGTGCAGTTCCAGGTCTCCCACCCTCCAATCCAAGCACCAGCAATCCCAGTCAAACCCTGGGGATGCGCAGAAGAACCTGGTCTGACGAGGTATGTTTTGACCAACTCTTCTGGGAAGTGCCAAGCAGGGCAAGAGCCAAGATATGCCTAGAAGGGATCCGAAAGGGAGACATTTTTCCGCTGAAGACCTTTGAACTTTCTTACTGAACGGTAGCTGGACCCTTCCAGCATCCGACTTTCTGGAAGCATAAAGTACACGCCTTCGGAGGATTCAACTTGAATTCAACGCATGACCTGACAGAGCTCCTGCAGATTCCCTCGTCGAATCACAACTCTGCGAGGCCTGTGGCAACTGCACCGCGGGGCGTTTTCTGGCGACGTGGCTCGGCGGGGCGTTGGTGCACTTCCTTCTGAAGTCGGATGAAGGAAAGCCCAGGACGTTTTGCTTTGGAGTCGGACGCTATAGCGCTGTATACCTCAAAAAGTAAGTCCTTGGAAGAGGAGGGTGTTCACTTTCCATGTTATTTTTTGGATGAAACTCCATTTTGGGTCTGCAGCTAGGCAGTTCTCTTTGTGCCCCGTGGACCACACTGGGAACTTCAGGCCTGGTGCTACAGCAGCCGAGCAATGCCAGGCCTGTGGCAAAGGCCAGGGGCGACAGCAGTGGACGGAGTGGCGACAAGCGAGCTGTGACATTGCTATGACAACCTTAGAAGTTGTTCTCTCTAGCAATACCCTAGAAGTCCAAAGACTATTTTTGGCACCACCCAGCTAAAGGACATTCCTCTTTGGGTCTTCCAAACACCCCGTTTTAAATGGTCTTTGACTTCCAGGGAAGATCCATTCCCTGGGACTTGTCATGGTTACGTCTACGTGGATGGATTTCACGGCAGACTCAGAGGATATGAGTCTTCCGGTCTGACCCAACCGGCGGGTGCTTTTGCAAACGCAGGCAGGGAGTGTAGTGGGAAGGAAGACATCCCTACACAGATCCTGCCCAGTTCTGAGACCTGAGATGAGTTTTTGGCCCAGCACCGGAGATCAGCTGTAGGAGTCTTTTTTCTTTTGACTCCTCCATCTGGTCAATGGGGTACCTTGGCTTCAGATGTGCTGTGCTTCGGTCTAATTTTTTTTCCCGAGGAGGTCGGGTGGTCTTCTCCTGGGAGTCCCGACTTTCTTGTGGAGGTCGGGGTTGGAAGTCCGCCTGGAGCTTCCCCACCGAACTTGATCCCCTAGCAGATCACGAACCTTTCTAAAAGATCCTGGTGGAGGATCCCCTAGCAGTGTTTCCCTGGTTCGCAGCTTCCCAGGACCTGTTAGCAGATCACTTCCGATTTCTCATGACGTCCTCCCTCCGCCAGGCCGTGCGAGTGGGCCTGGCGCCTTTGAATGCTCGGACTGCGCGCCGGGCCGTGGCTGGGACGAGACGCTGGTGGCAGATGTTGGCAGGTTCCAGTTGAGGGATGGGGGAGTCTTTCGGTCCGGATGGAAGTCTTTCGGTCCGGATTCATTGGGGGTGTGGGGGCTGAAGGGTGGCTGGAGGTGTGCGGTGAAAGTCCTTTCCGGATCATTTAAGGTCATGCACCCAACGAGACCTCCGGTGCCTGCATCATGTGCAGCGCAGGGCGCTACGCGCAGGCGCGGAGTGTGTAGAGCCGAAGCTGCGGTTCAACGGGATCAGATGGCAGGTGTGGTGTGGTGTGGTGTGGTGTGGTGTGGTGTGTGGGCACTTGAGTCTCTGGTGGAACCGAAGGAGTCCAAGCGTCACCCAGTGGCGCCAAAACCGAGTAGCAGAATGTGGAATTGAACTGCATGAATCATTTGAACCATATCAAAAAGCACCATCCGCAACATTCAAGTACAGAAGCGTTCTGCTTTTATCCAAGATCCACTTTTAGGTCGATGCTGAGACACTACCCTCACCATGCAAGGAGGAAAGTCATTGATATAACAGTGGTACGTCCTGGCACGTCCTGGCACGTCCAGCTGGACATCAGGAGGCCCTGAGCAGCAGCTGCAGCTCTTGCCCTGCTGGAAGGTTTAGTGAAGAGCTGGGAGCCAGCCAGCAAGAGGCAGGGAAAGGAGTTGGAAGAACAGAACGAAATGGGTGGTGAGGGCCTCCAACCGAGATCCAGCATGGCTGTGTGTGGCCGGTCCCGAGCGACCTAATGGACTCTTGATTCATAAACCCCTTCCGTATGCGAAGGGGTTTTACGATCCAAATGGAGGAGGTTATTCATCAAACAGAGTCTACATTGGTCCACCCACTCCAGAGATAAGCCCAAGACATCGACCGTGCGGAGGCCGGTCTTGGGAAACCACCACCTGTTTGGTCTTGGGATTTCATGGTCCTCCAACCGGGCTATGCCATGGACTTGAAAGTAATTGTTTCAGGGAGTATGTACGCAGTACATATTTTGTGGATAGATGTTACATATACAGTGCCTCACCCCAAAAACGTGTCTCTTCATAGTAAGAGGTGTTTGTTGACCACCGCTCGTGGGTCCTGGTATATGTGTATATGCTTGTTATCCCAGCAAAACAGTCACTTTGCATCTCAAGAAAAAATCTCGGCTCGAGCGCCCGCTCGGTCCTAGCTAAGCACTCGCCCTTCGTTTGGTCAATTTGGCCTTTGCACTGGACTGCTGTTGAGGAGGTCTGGACCTGTGCCTGCCCTCTCGTCCAAGGTGTGAAAGGCCCTTCTGTGGCTGATAACTGGAGTTGCATCCTCAGCCCTGCAGGCTGAATCAGCCGCTGTGACCGAAGTGGCCAGAAGGAGGCTAACGCTATATCGAGGAGACAGTGTATGAACCAAGACACTGAGGTGGAAGAACTCGCCTTAGAAGTTGGCCAACTCCGGATCCGGGTCTCGCGTCGCGAAGGCTACGGATCGACTCCTCTGCGTGTGGGTGCATCCTCTTCCACTTCTACATCTTCACAGCTCCCCAGCTCGGGTGCCCTTGCAGGCCTTCGGGCCACCGAGCCAGAGGCTCACACAGATCTGGCTAGCATCCTTTCCTGGTCAGAAGTTGGTGAGGACCCGTCGACATCTGGGCCGTGGACTCGGGAGTGGTTTGAAGCTCTGGCTAGGGCGGACTCGCCTACCACATTGAAAGAGTTGGACCTCTCCCCTATCTCGCACTTGATCTCACGTCTGAGGACTACCAGTGCGGGGTGGGATCCTGAAGCTCGCTTGGCTCGAGCGCTGAGGGCTGGTGTCTTGGCTAGGCACTGGCTGGACAATCGGCCACTGACGGCCGCCAACATTGGGGGACCTACTTTGCCCTCCAAGTTCTTCATTGTGCTCAAGGCCGGACCTGGCCTATCACCTGGGTGGACAGGGGATTATACTACCTACTTGGCACAGGTCTGGGCCTGGGACAGTGAGCCAGGCCTTTGCATCCAGAGCTGAAGCTGACGCCTACCTGCTTGGCGCCCAAGAGCCATGGCCTCCGCTTCTGGAGCGCCGCCTATGGCAGAGCAGACCCTGAGAGCCCTGTTGAACGACACCCCATCAACAGGGCCCTTACCCGGTCCTTCTCGAGAAGATGGAACGGGTTTGAGAGCTTTAGGCACTCTCGTACGAGTGCGCACTGGGGGTTTCATGGTTGCTCTGCCAGACCTGGCAGAAGTCGCAGAGGTCCTTCTATCCCTCACCACAGAGGAGGGAGAAGACGATCAAGTGGCTACCTACACCACCGATGTGTACATGGAAACTGTCCGTGGCCGCGGACTTCCCGCAGGTCCATGTTTGCTTGCCGATGTGCCTTGGATGTTTGCTAAGCACTTCAGGAAAGGGCACCCACTGAGGAATCCATCTGCCTACGAGGTTTTGCGCTTTACTCACGAAGGTGCTCCTTGTCGCCCTCGGCGTTCCGCCCTGCTGGCAAGTTCATAGCAGTGGATCCACGAGATCATGGACGACGACACTGCAGGCGACTACGTGACTGGAGACGACGAGATGTGGCCCACAGAATCTGTTTTGCCTCCGAGTGGGGTGCAGCAGGAGGAGGAGGTCTCCCTTCTCCAGCAGCGGATCACTCAACTCGAAGCAGCGCTCCAGTCACAAGCCGCCTCGCCACTACATGGGGGGGCTCAAGTTGTTCAGCCGCCTCCTCCTCCCAACCGAGGCGTCCTGTTTGGCGGTGTTCAAACCATCTCACCACAAGCTGGTCCACAGGATGCCGTCGAAAGGCTCAGAGCATTAGCTGGCGTGGCTCCGGTTCGACTGGGGGCGCACGAACGTGCAGTGCGAGAACAGCGGCCAGAGAAGATCCTGGAATCCTCGCAGCAAGAGGCGGGGTTGGAGGCAGCAGAACCTGCAGAGCTGGAGGAAGGCATCGCAGATCTGGAACTGGCGTTGACCGACCCACTTCAGAGGATGCTTGCCCTGCAAATGAAGCAGATTGCTATGTTGGCGCGGCAGCAGCAACAGCGTCAGACCTCCGACCCATTGACAGCCGCTTTGTCTGGAAGTTCCGATGGGCAAAGCGCGGGCAGCGGCAGCGTCAAAGGTTGCTTAGCTCGCGAAGCTTATCTGAAGCTGATGCAGGATCATGGAAAGGTCGCCTTGGCCGTCATGGAGCACGCCTCTCGGGAACTGGGCATCGAGCACAGTCAAGTGGGGCCGGGGCTCATGAAAGAATACATGGAGAAGAAATGCCCATTAGGCGACAATCGGCTCCTGATCCAACAGGCGTATCTATGGGCCTTTGCTTGGGAGACGGGGTTCCGCACGAACAATGTCGTTCTGATGGGAGTGGCCAGTCACGGCCTTCTATTCATCGATCAAGCGGCCGTGGACTATGGTCGCACCAATCTCGCTTGGCTATTGACAGCCTTGCCAGAACCACAGTTCAGCATTGTTCAAAGGAATCGGCATCGGCAAAGCTTGACCCCGTTCAGCCGCCTTGCGGCGGCCAGCTGGGTGGGAGCAAACTTAGCCTTCATGAGAGGCCTCGATTGCCTCGAAACAAAAATCAAGGGGGCGAACAATTTCACCCTCTCGAAAGAGGCGAAGGAAGCTGGCGACGAGACCACCCCAGCTACAAAGAAGGCTCCTTGGAAGCCCAAGAAGAAGAAGGAAGAAAACGAGCAGAGCTGAAGCCCACAGCCCGCAGAACCTCACATCCATCCCCGAACCTGTGCTCTCCTTTGCCGTCCTCTTCTATGCCAGAGCAGAGGGATTGCCTCCCTACTGCTTCCCACGGACGGGGGGAGCGCAGGGGCTGGGTCGATGTGACTTCCATTGGTGAGGTAAGGGCAAGTGGGAGCAGCATGAGTCAGTTGAGGGAAAAGGCTCTCCACGCTGAGTCAGGGGCGGCTTTGAAGCCTCAGATTCATGGAGCCACCTTTCCTCATTGAGTTGGTTTTAGCCTCCCTGAAGACCGCGCATTCCTGCCCAAAGCTGGATTGGTTCATTAGGAGAAGCTTGGAGCCTTGCCGCACCGTTTTACCTCAGGGTCGCCCATGAAGTGACCTGTGGCCGTGTCCCCCACCTAGCAGTGGTTGTTGGACACCAGCCAACTTAGTTTCTCCTCGCCGCAGACGGCGACAGAGGTTCTATCGAACACGAGCTCTTTGCTTGCAGCATTTGGTCATCACCCTTAACTGGCTGAGCCTTGGTTGCAGCAGCTCGCCTCCTGCTCATGCTCGGGTCGGACACCCGATTTCAGAGGCGCAGCATAAGATGCTTGAACGCCTTGAGGACCTGGTCGGCTACTCTCTGAAAGGAGAGGATGTGTCCTTTGACTCCCTAGGCCGAGCCGGAGAGAAGCTAAGCAAATTGAGTGCACTTTCTTTTTCTTTGCACGAGTCTGCTGGTTCGTTTGATCTGGTTGATATTGAGAGTTTTTTAAGATCCATTCATGAGTCGTTTGATGCATATTCAAAACCACGTGCTGCAGCGACTCGACATGCTGACCACCCTGCGGAAGAGCCTGTGGAGTCAGACAGTGGACCTCAAGATGTCCCTCGCCCGACGAGGCCTGAGGTCAGAGTCCCGACGAATGCCTGCTCAGCAAAACCTGTTGTTGCTAGCCGCATCAAGTGGAAACTTGCCCCCTCATTTGATCCTCGCCCTTTTCTAAGTGATGATATAGTGAGGCAGGCCTTTGAGGACCCTGACGTCCTACGAAAGCCGGAGAGCTCTTGGCCTCGGATGGGAAAGGCAAAAGTCCACGCCACTCGAGACGAGATCCTCGCCCTACCTGCGAAGTGGGACGCCCTTGGAGCGTGCCAGTTGGTTGAAAAGCATTCATTTCGTTTGGAGGAGACTGTAGGAATCTTTGCTGTTCCGAAGGACGAAGAATTTGACCGCCTCATTCTGAATCCTACTGTCGTGAACTCCCGGTCCTACCCGTACTCAAACTTCACACGAACAATAGCTCCTGGGTATCTGATTGCGCTGATTCAGCTGGGCGAGGAGGAATGTCTGCTTTGCTCGTCGGACGACCTCTGCGAATTTTGATATACCTTCCGGGTCTCAAGCAAGCGTGCGTGCAGGAACGCTATTGGTATCCCATTCAGAGCAACAGAACTTGCACACCTTTCTTGTTTTGATCCATCCAAGCATCGAGGTGAGTTGTTTGTGTGTTTGGCCACGCTTGCAATGGGTGACTCGCTGGCGGTCGAGATTGCACAGCAAGCTCATGTGAACCTGCTGAAAAACAAAGCGGATTGCATGAGGGCGGAGGAGTGTTTGTTGTATCGGCAGCCGATTCCCAGAGGATCGTTTTTCGAGTTATTGACAATCGACGACCACATAGGACTTCAGAAAGCTCGTCGATCGGGGGGCTCCTTCGTCTGCAACGACAGGGATCTTGAGGTTTTTACAGCAGCAAACAGAGCATACACCACTGTTGGCCTCACTGCACACCCTGGCAAAAGACAACGCAGAGCATTGCACGCTACGGTACTTGGCGCCGAAGTCGATGGCTCTCGAGGTCGAGTCTCAGCACCACGGGGTAGGGTGGCCATGTTGTGTTTCATCACTGCTGTTGTTGTAAAGAAAGGACTTGTCACACGTAAGTTACTTCAGAGCCTTATTGGATGTTGGACTCACATTCTCCTG